GGATTTTAACGACCACCTCTATTCTAAACTGCGTTAAATAAAAATTCCCGACGGCTGTTTTTCAGTATTTAGTGTATAAATTAATTATTTTTTAATTATATAGTCATTTAAAATAAAGAATTCTATAAACAATCATTCTAATGTAGGTAAATTATATTTTTGAATATTTTTTAATTTTATCTACTACAATATTTCCAATAATATTTCTTAATTAAATTTTTGTGAAGAATTGGGCAATTTAACAGCAAAATTAGTGTAATTTAATTGCTATGGAAGCACAAACACTATCTAAAAGAAACCTAATTAGCCCAGTCTGGTTAGGCAAAAAATCATCGAATTCACGGCAAAATTTTTCGCAGATATCTGATGCTTTTAAGACATGTGTGGGGGTTAATAAATGACGAATAGGTGAAAAAGTACTCGTATTTTTACCACGATATTTTTAGTATCGTGTAGAGGATCACAGACTCATTAGCCTGATGAGTCACACTTTAAAGATATTAGTTCTTCTAAAGACTCCCAGTTCGGGTTTAGGCAAGGTTTAGGAACACGAGAAGCAATAGTAGCAACACAGGTGCTGGTCCAAAATTGTTACGATCAGAAGAAGCATGTGTTCCTATGCTTTTTGGATTTACAAAAAGCGTTTGATCGTGTTCAACACCACAAGTTAATGCAGATCCTCAAGAAAGTTGATATAGACCAAAAAGACATACGATGCATTGAAAACTTGTACTGGCATCAAACGGCACAGTTAAAAATAGACAATTCTATATTCAAACCCATACATATAAGAAGGGGCGTTCGACAGGGATGTGTGCTTTCCCCTCGTTTATTTAACATTTATTCGGAAGCCATATTTCAAGAGTCTTTGGAGGATGCAAAGATGAGAATCAAAGTAAATGGAGTATTGATCAACAATATACGATATGCTGATGATGGTGTCTTGATTTGTGACAACATAGTCGATATTCAACAACTTGTCACTATAATCGGAGAATACAGTAAGCGAATGGGATTAGAGATTAATATCAAAAAAACCAAATTTATGATAATCTCCAGAAATTTGAATGCACTTGAAAACTCCACCATAACACTGAATACTAAGTCCATTGAAAGAGTGAGTAAATTTAAATACCTGGGATCGTGGCTTTTTGAAGACTGGGCATCGGACAGGGAAGTAAAATGTCGCATTGAGCAAGCTCGGCAAGCTTTCGTAAAATTCAAGGAGGTACTGACTTGTTCAGAGTTCGATCTTCAACTGAGACTAAGGTTTACTAAGTGCTACGTGTGGTCAGTGCTGCTATATGTCGTAAAGGGCTGGACACTCAAAACGAGGGATATAAACAGATTAGAAGCTTTCAAAATATGGCTCTATCGCCGTATCCTAAAAATAGCATCGACAGCGAAAATCACAAATACAGATGTCCTTAAAAGAATAAACCAAGAACGCCAACTTTTTGAAACCATCAAAAGAAAAGGAAAACGGCATATCTAGGTCACATCATCCAAAATGAAAAATACCAGTTCCTTCAACTTATAATCGAGGGTAAATTGAAGGCAAGAGAGGAATGGGACGCAAGAAGATGTCCTAGCTCCGAAACATAAGGCAATGGACAGCGATTAACGACATACAATATCTGATACATATTGCAAGTAATAGAGAAATAATGGAAAATGTAATCGCTAACATCCATTAGTGGATTTGCATCTGAAGAAGAAGATTTTTAGTATCCTCCTGTAGATCCACATCTCGAAGGCTTTACTCCGCTTTTCTGTGGCTTGCGTCAATGTCCAAGCTTCAACTCCATATAGTAACAGGGAACATTAGTTTTAATTAAAAATGATTAGTTGGCGTCATCTAAATGGCTCATGTGGCTAATTCTTCAATTCATTCCTGGAAATGACGGCATCTCCAGAGTAGCAGAAGTGAAAACCGCCACTCGTGTAGTGACCGATGCTGTTAGACTTCGAAGATTCTTTATGGGGTAATTTATGTTCAATATATAATAGCTATAATAGGGAAGTACAGCAACACTGTAATAACAGTTAACCTGTCATTTTACGTCAACTACCGGAATACATATATAGCACAGTCTGGTTATGCAAAAACCATCGATTCCAAGGCAACATTTTTTGCAAATATTTAAAGCATTGAAGAGGTGGGGGTTACTAAATAACAAATAGATAAAAAAGTACTCGTATTTCTACATTTTGATTTTTCCTTATATTTTACATAAACGGAGATATAAAATAAATAATTTACGGAGATATTTGCAAAAAAGCAGTTTTTTTGCACAAATTTATAATTTTTTTTAAATTTTTTTATTAACAAAGTAAAATACTAATGTACATTTTGAACATCGAGGAATTACTGTCTTTTAAGTTTGTGAAAATTTCCCCCCGATCGGTCAGTTTAAAACAGTTTAAAGGTTATTTAATTTATTCATCCCTGGGACTAAATATTTAAACTATTGAACTTGCTCTATTAATGATGCTAGATACATTTAGCAAATTTCATGGGATTCTTTAAGACTTAAACTATTAAAAAAGTTAAATGCATATTGCGTTTTCATCGAGATTATTTACAAAATAAACTATTGAAAAAGGGGTATGTTTTTTACTTATAAACAACTGTAATAACTTCTATATTTTTTAAACTACAGACTTGTACGTTCAATCATTGGGTAGCTGGTAAAAAACCTCACATTTAAAAGACCTTCTATGACCAATAGGAACGGAGATAAGGACTATTTTTAAAAAATCATATCTCCATGTTTTATAAACATTAAGAAGTAAAATTTGCACAAATTTTGAATGAAAATCTAAAATTTATATTGAAACTTATAGCTATAAAATTCATTTAATTTTTTAAAACTTACTGCCCTTCTATACCAGAAGGTACGTTCGAAAGATCGACATAGGAAAGTGGAGGAAATTTTTCAGCTCAATTTTTTTTTCTAGATCGGAACTTCAAATTGAAACACGTAGGAAAAATTTACATTATCTCGGCTTTCATTGCAGCTTGAAATATAAATAACTACATAGTTTTCACTGGCCGGAAAACTTTGTAAACTGTTTGAAATTCACCGTAAAAACTTACTTTTTTGGTAATTTGGCTGAAATAGTCTGTCGCAGTATTAATAATAATGACATAATTTTATTATGTCATCATTATTATATACTCCTCCGGAAATCTCGGAAATCCCAGAAAATCGACATATATTTTTTCCTTACCCTGTGAGGTAAGTTTTTACAGTTTTACAGATTATAGTATTATACTCCTTATTATGATTCCGAGATTTCAGGGGGGGGGGGGGTAAAAATTATGTTATTATTATTAATACTTCTGCGACAGACTATTTCAGCCAAATTAAAACAAACAAGTAAGTTTTTACGGTGAATCAAATGGACTCAACGAGGTTTCCAATATTTTCCGGCCAGTGAAAACTATGTAGTGATTCATATTTCGACGAGCTACCCGATTAAAAAAAGAGGCTTCTAGGTACAATAGTCGACGAGATAATGTAAAGTTTTCCTACGTGTTTCAATTTGAAGTTCCGATCTCGAAAAAAAAAAAACGGAGCTGAAACAGTTATCCCCTACACTTTCCTATGTCGATCTTTTAAAAGATAAGATAATCTTTCTATGTAGATCTTTCATCCAGTAATGCTAAATTTGCTAGAATACTAAATGTTGTTGTTACAAATTATATGATGTTGTCCAGTCGTTGAGCCACTCTTCGGTTTCTCAAACCTTTTTCAGATCATATGCATAACATTTACTCCAATATCTCCAGTTATTTTGAAAACTTCTGCGGTGATCTGGTCTGCGCCAGGAGATTTTTTTTACTTTTGATTGGTTTTTCTACCTCTGACTTTTCTACCTTCTGAATACTTCTGAATATTTGGTTCTCTCTCTGCAGTGAACTCGTCATGATTTGCATTCTGGAGATTATCTGCGTATAGACTTGCCAACATTTTTTTCATACCTCCGCAATTCCTTTCTCGTCATTTGTTGGTTTTGATCACATCTCATCAATATGTTGGTTTTGATCCATTATTGTTTGTGTGATTAGATATCACACTGGCATTACCTTGAAATATACGGGGATACTTGGAATACTTGGAATTACCTGGATAGATATTGGACTTTGTTATATAACTCATGGGATTCATAACAGTTTGCATATATATATATATATATATATATATATATATATATATATATAATATATATATATATATATCTAGTTCTTTTCACTTTCTTCATTTATATGTTTATGTTTATCATTCCTACATGCCCTTTTAATTTCTTTATTTAACCTTGCTGATTCGTTTTTGTGGCTGTCGTTTTGATATATGAGAGATTTTATTCTTCTTCGCTCTTCGAGAAGTTGCAGCGTTCTGTCTGTCAGCCAGTTTTTTTTTGATGATCTTTATATTAACAACCAATATAGCAATATTTTATCTTTTTATTACTGATTAATTCTAAAATGTATTTTAACATAATCACAGAGTTTTAAACTTTAAGAATGCTCTGCTTAACAAAACCAAAAATGTGACTTCAATCAAGATATTTTCGTGTGTTCTTCAATTGTGTAGTTACTAACTATCGCATTACAGAAATCATAAAACCAATAAATCTGCGAAGTATTCTTTGAAGGCCATCTTCATTTTGGGCTATCAATATTGCAACGTCTGCGTAACACATAATTTAAATTCCATTGTTCCCCATTCTGCATCGCTTTTTTTGTTATTGTCACTCCTTATGACTTCATCCATAATTAGATTGAATAAAATAGGGGTTAGTGTTAAATAATAAAATAGGTAAGCGATATTATGAAAAATAATTTATTCTTTTAGTAATCTAAAATAACAACATTACAAAGTGATTATAAAATATTGTCATGAATTATAAGTACCCTCTTTTCCATTCTATCGTATTCATTTCCATGTTCATGCCATATTTCTATTCCTTGTTGAAAACAACTGCAATTATGTTTAATTTTTCAACTCCCCTTTAAGCATTTGTTGAATTTCTTCTAAAGTTTTGCCCTTAGTCTCAGGGATGATGTATCGCGATAAAACAGCACAAACGGTATTAGAAATGGCAAACAAAAGGAATGGAGCATACAAACCAAAAAGTGTATTTAGGTAGTAGAATATGGTGGTAGTTAAGAAGTTTCCCATGCCAAAAATTATTATCAATATAGTCATTGCTTTTGACTTGATGCTAGCAGAATACAACTCCCCAAGCATTAGTGTGGGAATAACTGAAATGCCGATAGATGCAAATAAGAGATAGGACATCATGCAAGACAGAGGAATCCATTTTACGTAGGAGACATCGATGCTTGTGTTTCCATCTATATAAAAATAGGCAGCCATTGCATAAAGAACTCCACTGGTGGTGACCATGGAAACTGTGTAACAGAATATTCTTCCAAATCTCTTCACCACAAAAATTACAGCAAATAGGTTTAATATTACTGCGAAGCCCATAAAAACTATCGAAGCTTCTTCGTGACTCATGTTGTTACCGGATTTTTGGAAGATAAACTGAGTGTAAGTCAAAAATACTGACATACCAGCCATTTGCTGACTTAGTCTTAAAAATACACCAGCAAACAAAGCCTTTCTGTTACTTTTTATCTTAATCAAATCACCCCAAGTACCTGACTCTGATAGCTGCCTCTCAACAGCATACTTACAATTTTCAAAAATTTCATCAATATTCTTAATTCTCTTAAGAAACTTTAAAGAATTCTTGGCTTCCTGTTCCTTGCCTTTCATGATGTAATAGTAAGGTGACTCTGGCATGAACCAAAACAGGATGAAGAACAAAACAGATATTGGTAAACATACCCAAGAAGTTGTCGTAACTCCCAAGTAACTTCCCAATACGTTGATCAAGAACTCGCCCAAAAATAGAGATATGGCTACAGCGTTTCCCCAGATTCCTCTCACTATTGGGTTAGCTACTTCTCCGATATAAGTTGGCAGCGTGGCAAAGAGGCAACCATCTGCTATACCAGAAAAAATCCTTGACAGGTAGAACATGTAAACGATCTTCCTAATGCTGCACACAGCCAACTACCTATTTGAGGAATGACAATCAGGAGTAAGGTTCTCTTCCTGCCAAGAACGTCTGATAGTTTTGAGAAAATGGGACAAGCGATCATCAAAGCAATTGGTTGGATAGTGTTGAATAAAGATCCTTCTTGCTCGGTGATATCGTAGTTTACTTTGTCTTGTGTTATTTTGATTAGGAATGGTGAGGACCATGAGAATAGGAGTCCATTTGATAAGCCTGCTAGACCACCTAAAATAGAAAAGAATTTGGTATTTAAATGAGCTTTAATAATTTTCTAATAAATGAGAGACAAATTTGAATTGAATTAAATAACAAGTATGAAAGTAATATAAGGAAGCGATTAGTACCATATTGGTATCCAAGAAATTATCCATTTCTTAAAAGTACATGTTTATTTGGCCATAGATAAATCTTCTGCCTATAAATGTGTTGTATATTATAAACTCTACAACCGTAAGGTGGTGTCTCGGGCGACACCACTACTCTTTTAAATTCTGTTGTCTACCGTTACAACAGAGGAGAAACATGATTATCAGCACCTTACCGGCATTAAGAGTCTATTACGCAACGATGGCAACTTATTATCCAGTGTTTGATTTAAAAAAAAATATGCCAGAATCATATAAAGGACAGATCACTACATTTTCAAAACCAAAGGCCACAAGAAGCGGAGGAAGACCACGAAGAAGATGGATTAATGATGTGGAAGAATACCCACAGATTATAAGGGTCAGAAGATGGAGGGAAGTTGCCAGGAATCGACAGTAGTGGCGACTTCTTTGTGAGCAGACCAAGATCCACAACGGATTGTCGAGCCACTTATGATGATGATGTGCGATTCTAAAACATTTTACATGGTATTTGGAAGTACTTTATGGTATTGGAAAAAAAATCAAAATTAGTACAGACGCTTTACCAACGCAATATCTCCCAAAATATGAAACTAATAGAAATTTTAGAATGACCAACTGGTTCTCATCTTCTAATCTAGCAAAGAACTTACTATGAATAAACTTAAGGACCTAAGATTGGGACCTTAAGAAAAAATAAACCTGATTATTTTTACTGAACCACCATGATTTTTGCTAAAGAAAAGAACTTTTTCTAGTTTAGACTTTGCATGATGTAACAAAACTCTTGTATATCTTTCTTTTTCACCAAAAAATAGTGCTTTTTTACAACGATAAAAAGGAGACGTAGATACATACGATTAATTGTCACATTCAAAAACTATGGCAAGAATAACTTGTAGGTAGCTTCTTAGAGTATTTTATGGAATTTTAGATATAGCAAAAATTAATGCAGAAGTTATTTTTAATTTTAATAAAGCAAAAATTGATGCTGGTTACAAAAACAACAAGATTTACATTTTTAAAGAACTAAGCCATGCAGCTCGTATTTCCCACTGTATATGGAAAAAGAAAATGAGAGAGTAGGACAATTGCAAGACAATATTCTAGTTATATCCGTTACCGTTATCTATATCCGTTACCATTCCTGTTTCTCCCAACCGCATACACTACATTTTCGATCTTTCTTACTCTAAGTCCCCCCTCTTCAATAGCATCTCTCTAACTTCTTTATCATTTCTTTTGCTCTCCTCCATTAACACGATATCATACGAAAAGAGCATTTATCAAGCAGCTTCCTTTCTTACCTTAGAGTACATCCATAAAAACATAACAAGATTAAACAAATTAGTAAAGAGCCTTCATTTCATGTAAGCATTCAAAAAATAACCTTCATTTTACATTCTTGTCAAGAACCCATTTTTCTCTTATAATCCTTATTGCACTTGCGTAAGAACTATGTCGTACGCCATTTTAAGCTCTTTATATACTAAGTGTAGTTCTCTTTTCCTCCCTCCATATTTCTCCATCAAGTGTCTTAAATTAAACAAGGCATGCGGTGTTTCTTTCTGGCATAAACCCAAACTGTTTTTCTCCTATCGATTTTTCAGAAAAAAAAACAATAATCACGGCTACGAAACCCTTTCCATATGGCACAAAATTAAGCAAGTCTTAGATTACTATGGTGATTAACATTTTGAAGGAACTTCAAAGGCACTTCAATAAAGAAGAAGGGACTAAAAACGTTGAAAAAATTTTATTACCGTTGAAGAAAAAATAGATGGTTCAGCATTCTCACCAAATCTAATGAACATTGGCCTACTAAATACTTGAAATACTAAAGTAAACTGTTTTTCAATGGTCTACCTGATAGGAATAAAAATATAAATTACTTTTTTGTTTTGGATACTTACCTATAACAATGGCTAATATTTGTGGCCAATTCTTTTCATACTCCTTAGCAGTGAAATGAAGAATAACACCCATTTTTAGCAATTGAGAGTTGTACCTACTAGTATTATTCTACTAGAACTGTAACTTCATTTGCTACTTCGTAAAGCGAACTACAGTATTCCAAACAGACACACTAGATATTTATACATATTATAATCATTGCTATTTGTTTAACAAATAAATTCAAAGGATTTTTCTGTGTCTGGTCTTTTAAAATATTATTTAAACTCCAAGTAAATAACTCTAAGATTTGGAAGCCCTTACGTCAACCTACTTTTTCATATATCTTATATTTACTGTACGTAATCGCTCGAAAATATCTCCAGCCATAATATTCTTTTCGAACAAAAGTTTTTGTATTACCATTTATGGAAAAAGCTACGGTTGTATTTATTTAAAAAAGATTAGAGTAAAAATATTAGAAATTTCATCATATTTTATATAACTTGTGATTCGATAACAAAAACACGCGTGGAATTCATGTACTCACAATTCGAAGTTATTATTTTTGAATTATTATTTATTCAGATGTTAATGTTGTTTTTAAGATCTATAGATTTTTTTAGTAATTGTCCGTTTTTATTTTTTTATGTGTTCTTATTCTATAATATTAATTTTAAGTACTGTCACTTAACTATTTTGCGGCGCATACTTTTTTCATCGTTTCCGTCTTCGGTCAGTGCTGGCCCATGGTCCTGAATTTATACCAAATGGCATCGATGTTCTGCTTTCTATCTTTATTTGCGCATATGAGTCTGTCACTGACAGATGCGTTAATTCAACTAATTTTCTTGGTATTCCCATTTCTAACATTGCTATCTACAATTTGCTTCTTTTTATGGAATCATATGTTTGCTGGAAATCTATAAAAATTTGGTGCACTCTCTCTCTCTCTCTCTCTCTCTCTCTCTTCAATCCTGACCCCTCAGGGGGAGTGTAGTGGTCGACGTAATGTCGTGTATTGTCTGTCTCCAGAGATCTCTGTCTCTGGTCATTTCTTTTAATTCATGCATAGGTCTTCGGCATATTCCTGTAATTTGATCTATCCATCTTGTTGGGGATCTTCCTCATGATCCTCGACCTTCTACCTTTCCTTGTATTATGAGTCTTTCCATGTTTTCTGTGTTTGCTCTCATAACATGCCCAAAATATTTTAATTGTTGGAGATGGACTTGGAGACTAGAGAGTCGTTGGCTAACTTTTAGCTCTCTTAAAATTGAATTATTTGTTTTACGGTCGGTCCAAGGAATTCGTAACATTCGTCTCCAACAGAACATTTCAGTGGCGTCTATCTTTCTTCTCTCCGATAGTCTCAGAGTCCAAGATTCACATCCGTAGGTCAGTATTAGGAATATTAAGCAGTTGATCAACCTCATCTTTATCGCTCTTGAAATTTGACAGTCTTTCCATATTTTGGTCATTTTTGCTGTGGCAACTTTTGCTAGATCACATCAACGTTTAATCTCTTCTTTTAATGACACTGTGTTTGTGATTAATGATCCCAGATATAAGATTGAGCTCACAACCTCGAACCGGTCAATTGTGGTTATGTGTGGATGATTGTTGTGTAGTCTATCCACTATCATGATCTTTGTCTTTGATATGTTTAATTGCAGACCAAATATTTGACTTTCGTTTTCGATCAGTCGTATAAGTTCCATCAGCTCTGCTTGACTATTTGCAAGAAGGGCTGTGTCATCTGCGAAACGTAGGTTGTTTAGTTTATGACCATTTATTGAGATGCCCTTTTCACATCCTTCAAGTGCTCTTCGCATAATATACTCCCCATATATGTTGAATAATTGTGGAGATAGTATACATCCTTGTCTGACACCCCGTTCTGGATGAAACTCGTTCGAAAGTGTGTCAAGTACTTAACTGATCCAGTAGTGTGTTCATATATTTGGTGCGCATCGCGGTTAAATTCACAGTTTTTTTTTGTCGGATAGTAAATATCTTATCTATAGTTGACCTTTCAGCACGAAAGCCGTATTGTAGTCGGATAGAATATCTTCCGAATATGATGTGAGTCTCTTTAGGAAGATAATTGATAGTACTTTATATGATGTGCTAATAAGCGATATGCCTCTATACTTTCGCAATTGTTCTTTGTTTCCTTTTTTATATCAGGGAATTATAACGCTTCCATTCCATTCTCTAGGCATTTTATGTTACTATCATACTCTTAGAATGAAGTCATACAATTTTTGGTGTAGAAGGTTTCCTCCTTTTTTTAACAACTCTCCACTTATGCCAGTACCGGCAGTTATGTCTGTTCACCAAACCATTTAATAAGAATAAGCATTCATCCGAGAAGCAAATAATGTGTAACAATTGTGGATGGTTAATGATGCATGATGTCATTAATTCGCAAAATTCGAGAAGACGATCAAAATCTTCTCCATTTAACTCTTCTACGAATTTAATTTTATATGGATGAAACTCAAATTTACGCAGGCCTCGGAAGGCTGTAGAAGATGAAATACCGATTGCTCTGTTTATTGTTGACAGTGACTGTGATTGATCAGTCTTTAAGTTCTTCTTCTTCTTCAGCCTGTGTTCGTCCACTGCTGGACATAGGCCTCTTCCATTTGCTTCCATCGATTTCTACTTTTGGCAATTCTCATCCACTGCTTGCCCGCGACTTGTTTGATATCGTCTGTCCACCTCTTCTGCGGTCTGCCTACTCCTCGCCTGTTCTCTCTTGGTCTCCAGTTTGTTAATCTTTGTGTTCATTTTTCGGGATTATCTCGGGCAACGTGTGCGACCCATTGCCACTTGAGCCTTGCAATACGTTCTGAGACATTAGTAATTTCTGTTCTTTCACGAATGACGTTATTTCGAATCCTGTCTCTCAAACTAATCCTAGCATGGCCCTCTCCATTGCTCTTTGGGTTGTACTAAGCTGCTCTAAGGTTTTCTTTGTGAAGGTCATGGTCTCCAGTCCATATGTAGTCACAGGCAAGATACATTTGTCATAAACTCTACGTTTTAGACACATTGGTATATCTTTATTCTTCAAAATAAAGCTTAATTTGCCGAAAGCTCCCCAAGACAGTTGTATGCGTCTTTTTATTTCGGCTATTTAATTTTCTTTGCCGATTTTAATGGTATGTCCAAGATATATATATATATATATATATATATATATATATATAGATATATATATATATATATATAGTGGTCTACATTTTCAAGACTGACGTTGTCAATAACAAGATTAGTTTGTAAATTACTCATTATTTTTGTTTTCTGAAGGTTCATTTTGAGACCTATTTTATTTGACTGCTGGTTTAATTCCTTCAACATTTGCTCCAGTTCCTTGATATCTGTACTAAATAATACTATGTCATCCGCAAACCTCAAATGACTCAAACGTACACCATCAATGTTTAGACCTTTTTCCTCCCAGTCAAGCTGTTTGAATACATTTTCCAATGCTAAGGTAAAAAGCTTCTTTGGTGAAATAGTATCACCTTGTCTAATACCTTTATCAAGGCGCATTTTTTCAGTTTTTTCGTCTTTATTGATTTTGATGTGGAATGTGGCCTGTTCATAAATGTTTTTAATGAGTGTAGTGTACCGTGAGTCTATTCGAGCATCCTTCAGGGCTGACAAAAAGGACCAAGTCTCAATACTATCGAAAGCCTTGTGAAAGTCGATAAATGCCATATGTAAAGGTACATTATATTCTGTGGTTTTTTCTACTAGTGTTCTGATGGTTTGTAAGTGATCATTAGCGCCAAACCCTTTTCTAAATCCCGCCTGTTCAACCGGTTGATATAAATCAAGTTTTTGTGTTATGCGGTTGGTTATTATTCTTGTTAACAATTTGTATAAGTGTGACAACAAACTTATAGGTCTGTAGTTTTCAATATTAATAGTGTCTCCTTTCTTGTGTAAAAGTATTATTTCGGCGTTTTCCCATAGGCTGGGTATTCTTTTTTCTGTTAGACACTTATTCAGTAAGACTTCCACAACTTCTACAACGATGTTGCCGCCCATTTTTAACATTTCAGACGTTATACGATCCTCGCCGGGAGCTTTTTTGTTTTTCATTTGCTGTAAGGCATGTCTAATTTCCGAAGAGGTTATTTTAGGGAGGGTTTCCGAGCCGACGTTTAGAATTGTTCTGTGGTCTGTTTCGGGGTTCTGTATAGTAGATGTATAAAGATTCTTATAGAACGTTTGTATTTCCTTGATTATTTGAGTTTTTTCGGTCACCGTTATTCCCCTGTTGATTTTTGATTTTAGTTATATTTGATTTTCCTTTAGTTAAATTTGATTTCAATACTCTCATGTTTCTATTGTTTTCGATGGTTTGCAATATTTGTTTTGTTTTATAAGCCCGCAAGTCTGACCTTTGTGCTCTTTTTAACTTTATTGTTGATAGCTTTATACTCTGGTAATTCTTTCGATGTTCTTCTTCTTTCTTCCATTAAATTAAGTGTTGTTTGTTTCAGTTTCGTTTTTCTGGGATTTTTATTTTTATCACAGATCTTTTTTGCAGTTGATGTTATGTCGTTCGTTAATTTTTGTGTTATTTCATTTATATCTTTCGTGTTGAATACTGGTAGAGGTCCTAGTTTCTTTTTTAGTTCACTTTGATATTCCTCTTATTCATTTGAGTGCTTCTATGTTTGGCAATTTATCCTGTGTTAATAATTTTCTTCTATCTAATTTCGTATTTATTTCTTTAAGTTACCTAGCCTAAAACAGCAACTTGGATTGCTTCGTTATTTACAATTCCCTGTGGGTTATGTTTTTTTATAGCAAACTGACCCTGTTACTCTAAATTTCTGCATCAGTTCAATCACATACTTATGAGTTGCATATCTATTGTGGTGTGTTTCATTAAAAATTCTAGCAGCAGCTCTTGCACAATTATTATAGTAGTATAAACCTGACAATTTCGATTCCACCTTGCAAAGTGTAAACCATTTTAGCAATTCAATTGCACACGTATCAAAATAGGCTGATACAAATTATAACAAATTGTCATTGTCTATTAACCGATTAAAGTAAATGTCCAAATAATATCGAAAAGCTTTGATAAAACTTTAATAGAAAGTTTTTTGTTTCTTGGATTTTGAAGGTACTACAAATAGTACGGTTAAATATTTAAAAAGTTTAAATTATGCTACAATCTATTTTGTTACAGTCAATTAAGGTAAGAGAGGTACTATCTTGTTAAAAGAATGATAATATTTACATGTGAAGGAACCCTGATTATGGAGACTAAGGCGGCTGAAGTGACAGCCTTCTCTTCTTCACGTGCCATCTCCGCGACGGAGGTTGGCAATCATCATGGCTATTCTGATCTTAGATGCTGCTGCTCTGTAGTTCAATTCAATTCCATGAGTTTTTCTCCTCTTGTGTTTCTTGTGGCGAATCCAAAATTTCCAATCTTGCTTTCAGAGTCTTCAATCTTACTTCCAATTTTGGAGTTAGTTAAAGTCTTAGTTAAAGTTAAAGCCGACGACACAGTGATCCTTGCCAGTACCATAGACGAATTACAACAAGTAATGGAAAGACTTTAGTCAGTTAGTAAGGAATACGGCCTGAGCCTCAACTTCAAGAAGACAAAGTGGATGCTGATAAGCAAAAAGCAACAACCTGCTTGACAATTACGGATAAGTAACATACTAATTGATCATGTAGAATCTTATGTGTACCTTAGCACCAACGTAAATGCAAAATGGGAATAGACCATAGAAATTAAGGCAAGAATAGAACGAGCTAGAGCAGCATTTAGCAATATGAAAAAACTTCTCATAAGCAAGGATTTGTCTCTTCCCCTAAAACTACGTATAGGTAAATGCTACAATTTTTCGATCTTGCTGTATGGCGTGGAGGCCTGGACGCTGACGGAGACGCTAACGAGAAAACTAGAAGCATTCGAATGCTGGATGTACCGACGCATTCTTCGTATATCCTGGAACCGAACATGTCACCAACATAGAGGTACTCCAAAGAATCGGAAAGGAGAAAGAAATCGTGAATACAATTAAACAAAGAAAGCTTGAATATCTAGGCCACATATTAAGACAGGATAAGTACCGTCTGTACAATTGATTGTCCAGGGAAAAATAGACAGTAAGCGAAGGCCAGGTAGGAGAAGACACTCGTGGGTCCAAAACTCTGCGGAAGTGATTCGGGCTCACATCGGTCGAACTATTCAGAAGCGCCGCAAACAAGATCAAAATTGCCATGTTAATAGCCAACGTTCGCAACGGACAGGGCACTTGAAGAAGAAGAAGAAGAAGTTAAAGTCTCCCATTATTATTATTTTGGATTCTTTGTTGTTGTCTATAGCGTTTTTAACGTCTTCGTAAAAAGAATTTATTTGCTCATTGGTTGCTTTTTCAGTTGGAGCATAAACTTGCACGATCTTTATTTTAGTTTATGGAGTTAGTTTTAAGGCCATGTATGTAACCCTGTCTTATATGCTGTCAATTATTTGAAATATTGCCTTTGATGAAATAGAGTCTGTTGCCTGAATGTAAGTCCACATATCCTTCACCTCCTCTTTTAACTTCTGACAGTCCCATTATGTCCCAATTCAAGTTCCCCAATTCCTCTTCCTCTTCTAGTTCGTAGAGTTTTTCGTCTTTTGCCATGGAGCGGATGTTGTATGTTGCTATATGGAGTTGTTTGTTCTTCTGTTTTTTCAATGTCGACTTGTCCCCCCCCCCAGAATCTTCGGGGCAGACCATTGTTACGGGGTGAGACTGTGGAATAGAATTCCTACCCACCTGGGGTATCTTCCGTGTTTGCCGTCCGCCATGCCAATAGACAGCTACAAATAACACAAACCACGTGTATGTTTTGACTCACACCAGAGAACTAGAGGGAACTGGCAAAAAACAAGGCGCCAATTGTCGCGACAATTGAGATGTCAAGTGGCGGGGGCTCACTGGGCGCAGCTCATTGTCATCAAGTGTTTAGGCGAAGACAATAGTTTCATACCAGTAAGTTGTCTTCTGACAATTGTCTCGCCAATTGTCATCGTGAAAACGCGGCTTTAGATACGTACCTATTGCAATGGCCAATATTTGTGGCCAAATCTTCTCATACTCTTTAGCAGTGAAGTGAAGAATTACACCCATTTTTTTGGTAATTGAGAGTTGTACCTACTAGTATTATACTACAACTGTAAGCTAACTTGCGAATTTCTGCACAGCTAGATTGGCTATTTATATTTAAAACACTTATTGTTTATATAATCAAAACAAACCCAAACATTATTTGTGTTTAGATTTAAAACGGGAGCTTAACTCTGAATCAAACTCCTACCAAGATTTTTATTTGAGTAGTCTTTACGTCAATCTATTAAAAAAAATCCCATATCTACTATACATAATCTCTTAAAAAGATCTTTAGGTACGATAATATTACTGAACAAAAGTTTGCATTACCATTTATGGCAAGGACTGTATTTATCTAAAAATAAACAAAACAAAAATCTCTGATATTTATCATATATGTTATGTTTTATGCCAGTAATAATAAATAATAAATACATTCTTCTTTTCGTGCCATATCAGAATTATCCGATGTTGGCGATCACCATTGCGAAGTCTTCTCGACTTCTGCAATATGGAATAATTGTCCTGTATTTGATATCTGAGTCCATTCACGAATGTTATTTAACCAAGAAACTTGTTCTCTTCCTACACCAATACGGCCCTTTATTTTACCTTTAAGGATCAGTTGTAATATTTATATCGACTTCCCTTTATTATGTCCCAGATAAGATATTTTTCGATGTCTAACAGTCTTTAGCAATTTCTCTATCTTTATTGAGTTTTCTTCATTAGTTTTCCTTGCTGTCCATGGTATCTTCAGCATTCGTCTATGAACCCACATTTCCAATGCTTCAATTTGGTTCATGATCGATACTTTTAGCCTCCACGCTTCTGCGCTATATAAAAATACGGACCAAACATAGCACTTAACCATTCTTTGTCTTAGTTCTAAACTGAAATGGTTATTTCAAAGAAATTACTTCATTTTCATAAAAGTAGTTTTAGTCATTGCTATTCTACGTTTTATTTCTATGTCTGGATCTAGTTGGTCCGTTTTCAGAGTTCCAAATTTGTCATTTTGTTAACTTTCTCAACTTGGACTCCGTTTAATTGAAGCTTTGCATCGGAATGTGGGTCACGACTAAACACTAAAAATTTGGTTTTATTTGAGTTTATTTTAATGCCCATTTCCTGTTCTTCCTCGTGAATACGATCAAGCAGAATTTGAAGACCTTCAATATTATCTGATAGAATTACTGTATCGTCTGCTTATCTAATCACATTAAGTAGTTTCCCATTGATTTTTTATAGTTGTCTGACTCCTCGTTGGATAGAGATTTCATCGGTGTAGTTATCTCCAATTTTTACTATAGCAGTTTGATTCCAGTACAAATCTTTAATGACACGAATATCCTTGTCATCTAGTCCGATATTTTTCAGTCTTTGTATTAATTTTACATGCTGTACTTTATGTAATGCCTTTTCGAAGTCCACGAAACATGCAAATACATCTTTTCCTTGGTTACGGCGTTTTTGTTACAGGATATTAAGTGCAATAAGTGCCTCCCTGGTTCCCATAGCATTTCTAAATCCAAATTGGGTATCTTCAAGATCTTTTTCGCATTTGCGTCTAATTCTGTTCTGAAGTATTCTTAGGTAAAATTTTAAGAGTGTGGCTCATTACGCTAATTAATCGATATTCTGAGCATTTCCTCGCATTGTGTTTTTTAGGTATTGCGACAAAGATGGATTTGAGCCAATCTGTGGGAATCACCCAGGTATTATATATTGAATTAAAAAGTTTTACTACTACTTTTATGTTATCATTCTCTATTAGTTTTAGCAACTCAGTTGGTGTATCATCTGAACCACAAGCTTTCCTAATTTTAGCATTATTTATATCCTGTTTTACTACGCATTTCATAATTTCTGGGCCGTCAGTACAGTTTGGTAGAATTTGGCAATATTATTCCTGTCATCTTTAAACAACTCTTATATATACAGTTGCCATTCTATTTTTATTTAGTTGTCATTTACAACAATTTTGTTATTATTGTCTACGAGTAATGACAGACGCAGCAGAAACACGACTTGACACAGAGAAGGAAAAAGTATGTTCGAAACGGCAGCGATGAAAACACTTTAAAATTTATGGTAAAATACTGGATAATGACCGACTGATGGAAAAATTGATGGTACAGATCTAGAAGTACAGATACACAAAATAGATGCAAGTAGGAGAACATGAAGGACTGGGTAAAAGAAATAGAACAGCAGAATGGAACGGATTATATAAGCTAAATGACAACAAATGGAGGAGTGAAGATATCAAAAAACGAATCCCCAATAGGAAGACGATCCTATTGGGCAATCCAACATACATATCAACATTATTATGTCTTATAAAATAAATTGACAAATACCAACCATTAAAATTATACAAAATAATTTATTTTATTAGGTAGGTACAAAAATTACATAGTAATTAAATACAATATTGTCATGAATAATAAATACTCTCTTCTTAATTCCATCGGGTTTAGATGTTGGACTGGACAGCAACCTTCTTTAATTTTTCACATCTCCTTTAAGAATTTGTTGAATTTCTTCTAAAGTTTTACCCTTTGTCTCGGGAATAACATACCGTGACAAAACAGCACAAATGGTATTAGATATAGCAAACAAAAGAAATGGAGCATAAAATCCAAGAAGTGTATTGAGCTGATAGAATACGGTGGTAGTTAAAAAGTTTCCCATACCATAAATAATTATCAATATAGTCATAGCTTTAGACTTGATGCTAGCAGAATACAACTCCCCAAGCATTAGTGTGGGAATAACTGAGATGCCGATGGATGCAAATAAGAGGTAAGACATCATGCAGGCTAGAGGGATCCATTTTACGTAAAATAGGTCAATATTTGTGTTTCCATCTATATAGAAATAGGCAGACATTGCATAAAGGACTCCACTAGTAGTTACCATGGATATCGTGTAACAGAAGATCCTTCCGAATCTTTTTACTACAAAAATTACAGCAAATAAGTTCAATATTACTGCTAGTCCCATAAAAACTATCGAAGCTTCTTCGTGACTCATGTTGTTACCGGATTTTTGGAAAATAAACTGAGTGTACGTCAAAAATACTGACACACCAGCCATTTGCTGACTAAGTCGTAAAAATACACCAGCAAACAAAGCCTTTCTGTTACTTTCTATCTTGAAAAGGTCACTCCAGGTGCCCGATTCTGACAACTGTCTCTCAACAGCATATTTACAATTTTCAAAAATCTCATCAACATTCTTCATCCTCTTTAGAAACTTTAAAGAATTCTTTGCTTCTTGTTCGTTGCCTTTCATGATGTAATAATAAGGCGACTCTGGCATGAACCAAAACAGGACGAAGAATAAAACAGATATTGGTAAACATACCCAAGAAGTTGTCGTAACGCCCAAGTAACTTCCCAATACGTTGATCAAGAACTCGCCCAAAAATAGAGATATAGCCACAGCGTTTCCCCATATTCCTCTCACTGTTGGGTTAGCTACTTCTCCAATGTAAGTTGGCAGGGTGGCAAAAAGGCAACCATCTGCTATACCAGAAAAAATTCTTGACAGGTAGAACATGTAGACAGATCTCCTAGAGCAGCACACAGCCAACTTCCTATTTGAGGGATTACAATTAAGAGTAAGGTCCTCTTTCTGCCAAGAACATCTGATAGTTTTGAGAAAATGGGACAGGCGATCATCAGGGAGACTGGTTGGATAGTGTTGAAGTAGGATCCTTCTTCCTCTGTAATATCGTAGTTGACTTTGTCTTGTGTTATTTTTATCAGAAACGGCGAAGACCATGAGAATAGGAGTCCGTTTGATAAACCAGCAAGACCACCTGAAATAAACAAAAAATTAATACTAATTGTAACTTCATTATCTTTTTTTATTTGTATTACATCGTTCAATCTAATTATCGGATATTTAAACAAACGTTTTTGAACATAAATAATCAAATTATTGTCTAATACCGTTTATTAAAATAATTTTAGATTTTATATCGTAAATTTAAATTTACTAAAATTTAACATGAGACATGAGTTTCGAGTTAAATGTAAAGAAGTAACTATATAGAAAATATGATATAAAATGGGAATATATTACAGAAAAATAGTTTTAGCAGTTTATTTAGTAAACATTTAAATATCAGATTGAAAATTAGCATTTTGTATAATAAAAGGAGAGAGACAAGACGCTGGAATACATTACCAGAAAATTGAGAAAAAGTGAAATATGATATTTAAAACATGAATGAAAGTAACCATAAATAATTTTAATTTTGGAACTTACCTATAACAATGGCCAATATTTGTGGCCAATTCTTTTCGTACTCCTTAGCATTAAAATGAAGAATAACACCATGTTTAACAATGAGAAGTAGACCTACTAGTAATAATCGTACTAGAACTGTAACCTCTCTTGCTACTCACAGCAAACTGTAATGATACTCATAGCAGATTGGATATTTATATACCAGCAATTGTTGTTTAGTTAAACAAATTAGACCAACGCATTGTTCAGTGTTTATTCTTTTAAAATATGTTTTAAACTTTAAACAAATATCCCCTACGTGGTTTTATAATTTTGGATCTTTTTACGTCAATGTGATTTTCTCTAAGTCTTATATCTACTACACATAATCTTATGCAAATATCTCCAGCCGGGCTATACTTTTTGAACAAAAGTTTGTATTGACTTTTGTAGAACAAGCTTTGTTATTGTATTTATTTAAAGAAAGATATCAGAACCTCTGGTATTTCATCATCTAACGGGTGACACTTTTGATAAATAATAAAAAAGACACGCATGGAAATCATGCAATCACAATTCGAACGTCAGTATTTCTGGTTTTTATATTCATTGTTACACTAACCCCAGTAAAGCATAAATTCTTTTATATAGTGATTTTTTTCGTCTCTTAAGATCCATAAATTTTTAGTGCTAGTTTTGATATCTTAGTAATAAAAAAGCTGTTATTCCCTAAACATTCTGAAAGTGATGTTGCCAGCATTCAGTATTTCTTTAATTCTATCCTGTGTTATATTTTAATTTATGACTATATTTTCATTCAAAAATTAATCCCTTAATTTGTACAAATTAATCGTTTAATTTGTAATCTCACATTATTCTTAACTTCTAAATCTTTTAATTTTCTAATTTTAATAATTTAATAATTAGTTCATTTACCTACAACTAAATAAATTGCCGCCGAATAATATATTTACTTATTGAACTTCCTAACGTGTCGCAATTACACCAACATGACTATAATGTCTACCGTAAGTAGAAATAAACATGCTGGATCTGAATATAAAAAGGACCAAATAAATTATCTTCTGTAAATAAATTTTATAATTTTTACAGATGAACCTAACGATACCATTCTCAAATAATGTGCCCAGTTTGTCAAAAACTGTTGATAATACACACCGGATGCAATTAAACATCATTTATAAAAACTACGCAATAATTTATCACCTGTGTCTCCTTATGTCATCATCCTTATGTGTCTCATAGTGGAATGCTTCTTTTAATCAAGGTTCTTTCCCCTGTGTCCTGGAAATTAGCTTCGGTTACTCCTATATTCAAGTAAGAAAATAAACTTGATTGCAATCATTATTGTCGAATCAGCCTAGTTCCTATTGTTGGCAAGGTCATGGAATCGATTATTTCGGAAGCTACGTCTTAGTTTCTTCTTTAAAAAATATCATTCCTCACCAATGGCGTTTTCAAAGGTCATTCGACGATCACCACACTTACTTCATATGTAAAATTTGATCATTATGTTTAAACAATAGGCATCCTGTCGATGTTGTCTACTTATGCCGGGTCCAGGCCAGCAGACAAAACGAAAACACAATTCTGAAACAAAAACACACGATAAACGGCGACAAAATTTGTCGTCAAAAGAACAAACAAAATTGAGACAAACTGTTCACTACCAGAACAACAAAATATAAAAACAAATTCTAGTTGGTGACGATTGTTGTTGTGATTCATCATCATCAATGGTGCTACAGCCCTATGAAAGAGCCTCGACCTTCCCAAGTCTATTACGCCAGGCAGTCCTATCCATTGCCAACCGTTGCCAGTTTGCTGCGCCTATCTTTCTACCATCCTCATCTACACCATCCTTCCATCTGAGTTTTGGCCTACCCCTTTTTCTGCTTCCCACGGGTTGTGACATAAGGATTCTTCTAGGAGGGTTGTTCTGCTGTGATCTTGCTAGATGTCCTGCCCATCTTAATCTTCCTATTCTTATAAGAGATACTATGTCTTTACCACCAAATATTTGTTTATATCTGTGGTATACCTCGTAGTTGTATCTCCTCCTCCAAACACCATTTTCACAGATGCCACCAAATATTCCTCTCAGGATCCTTCGTTCAAATATAAGCAAAAGGTCTTCGTCTGCCTTGGAGATGGTCCATGTCTCCGATCCATATGTCAACACTGGCTGTATAAGGGTTTTGTATATAGTTATTTTTGTTTTTTGGCTTAAGTTTCTACTTCTCATATGTCTACTCAGTCCAAAATAGCATCTGTTTGCCATTACTATCCTTCGCTTGATTTCTTCCGTTATGGCGTTCTCTTTGGTGATCAGGGAGCCTAAGTATGTGAATTTGTCAACCACTTCAAAGGTAGAGTTATCAACCGTGAATTGGGGACCGATGTTCCTGGCTCTATTGTTGGGTGTTGATGCCATCATCTTAGTTTTCTCCTCATTTACTTGCAGGCCCATAGATTTTGAGGCATTTGAGAAGGTGGTATACATTTCTTCTAGCTTGCGTGTTGTGCGGGCAACTAGGTCCACATCATCTGCATATGCCAAAATTTGGGATGATTTATTAAAAATATTTCCTCTGTTGTCTATTCGGGCATCTCTGATCGCCTTTTCCAGTGCTATGTTGAAAAGGAGACACGCCAGCGCGTCTCCCTGTCGCAGCCCAACATGCGTTCCAAACGCCTGTGATTGTTCGCCCTGTATTTCGACTTTGCAAACCACATTACGCATTGTAGCCTTAACCAATCTTATCAGTTTATCGGGGATGTGGAATTCATTCATTGCTTCATACAATTTATTTCTTAGGACACTATCATAGGCAGATTTGAAGTCTACAAAAAGATGGTATGTATCGATATTGAATTCATTGGTTTTTTCCAGTATTTGCCTTAGCACAAAGATCTGATCTGTTGTTGATCGACCAGGCCTAAAGCCACTTTGATATTCCCCGAGAAGTTCCTCTGAATATGTACTTAGGCGACCATATATGATCCTCGAAAATATTTTGTATGCTGTATTAAGGAGGGTTATTCCCCTATAGTTTCTACATTCCAATTGGTCACCCTTTTTGTGTAGCGGGCAAACGATTCCAATACACCACTCTTCCGGGATTTGTTCCTCATTCCAGGCTCTCAGTATTATTTTATATATTTGATTAGTCACAGAAGCACCTCCACATTTGATAAGTTCCGCGGGTATACCATCACTTCCTGGAGATTTATTGTTTTTTAGGTGTTTTATTGCATCTCGTACTTCTTGAATTGACGGAGGTTCTAATGGTGAATTGTTGCTTGCTCCTCCGGGTGGTTGATTTGGATCTGGATCTTCTACTTCTATAGTAAGTAGTTCTTTAAAGTGTTCCACCCACCTTTTCAGTACTTCTTCTTTTGTATTTAGTATATGCCCCTCCTTATCCTTACATAGTCTGAGCCTTGGTTTGAATTCCTTTCTTGCGTTATTCAGAGTTTTGTAGAATTTTCTTGTTTGGTTTTCCTTTTTTAATACCTCAAGTTCTTCCAATATTCTATTTTCGTGAGTTCGCTTTTTCCTTCTATGAATGCACTTCTCTTCTTTTCTGAGATCTTTATATTTTTGCTGTTTTTCTCGGGTTCTTCTTTGCTGCATCAGTTTATATGCATCGTTCTTTCTTCTTGTAATGTCCTCACACTCAGCATCAAACCAGTCATTACGTGGTGGTGGTCTTTCTGGCCCTAGAATATTATTTGCTGCCTCTTTAATATTATTTTTACATATTTCCCATTGTTCACTAATTGTTAGGTCTTCATGAATTATGTGTTTAGTTTCGATATAGTTTTGAAACCTTTCTACTGTTTGAGGATTTTTGAGCATTTCAATATTGAGACGCGTTGTTTTGGTACTTCTCTCCTTCTCTCCTATGTAAATATATATTATGTAAATATTTGGTCATTATCTTTAAACAATCGGCATCCTGTCGATGTTGTCTATATATGCTGGGTCCAGACCAAGCAGACAAAATGAAAACACAATTCTGAAACAAAAACACGATAAACCGACAAAATTTGTCGTCAAAAAGACAAAACAAAATTGAGACAAACTGTCCACACCAGAACAACAAAATATGAAAAACAAATTCAGTTGGTGACGTTGTTGTTGTGATTAGTGTTGGTTAACCATGTGGCGTTTTAATCAAGAAAAAAAATGAAACTGAAGGTTTATTTGCTAGCCGCAAGTTTTTTTTGCGCTCATCATCATCCCAAGTTGCAAGAAAACCCAAACGTTTTTGGATTAGACCAAGCCTAAAAATGCGAGAAAGTTGTTCGATAGACAAATTGTTAGTTCAGCTGCGAGCAGATGATATTGGACTAAGTGGGGAAATTCGATCAACTTTCAAAAATTTTTAAAGAATGTCCACCGAAGATTTTGAGAATCTAATATGCCTTGTTGGTCCTGCAGTTGCAAAAAGACATACTAACTTTAGAAATGCTATGAGTGTAACAGAAAGGTTAGCAATCACTTTAAGATTTTTAGCAACAGGTGATTCCTACCACAGCCTAATGTATCTTTTAAAAGTATCAAAGCAATCAATATCTGTAATAATACCTGAAGTATGTAAAGCTTTAATTAACAGTCTTAGTGGTTATGTACAGGTATGTTAAACTTTTTTCATTACTATTTTCTTGTTAATATCCCTTAAAATAAACTCCATATTTATTGGTTAAATGTTTAATACAAAAGAAGTTGACGATAGGTACATACTACGTGCAAAATAACGACGAGTCTACTTGTTTTTACATTCAAAAAGTTCATCATCAATTTCGTTCGTTTTCTTGATCTGAATACTGAGAAAGCTCTGTGTCAATACTAGGTGGATGTGAAAATAAAGGTTGTGTGTTGGTGTTTGGTGGATTTAAGTAATAATTTTGTGGGTCAGCACTGGGTGGATTTGAGTATGAATGTTGCGTGTTGGGTGGATTTGAGTATAAATGTTCAATGCTGGGTGGATTTGAGTATAAATGTGTGTCAATGCTGGGAGGAGTTGAGTATGAACGTGTGTCAATGCTGGGAGGATTTGAGTATGAATGTTGTGTGTCAGTGCTGGGTGGATTTGAGTACAAAATGTTGTGGGTTGGAGTTGGATGGAGTTGAGTGAACATTTGTGTTGAGACTAAGTAACAGAAAAATACACTTAATTTTGATAAAAATTGTACATTCTATTTCTCCTACTGCTTAACTCGTTTTGGCACGCACACGCGTCCACACTGCGCCGAAAACTTGTCGTCAAATACACAGACAAAACACAGACTTTTTGATCTTTACCGACCTGAGACGGGACCTGAAAAAGTTTTCAAATTTGCAAACAAAACAAAATTGTTCAGAAATGTCTCAACAAATGTTTTCGATTTGTCGCCACTTTGTCGCGAAACATGAATGTTTTTGTTTTGTCTGTTTGGTCTGGACCCGGCATTAGACTTCTCCAATGCTTTCGACCGTGTTACCAAACGTCGATTACTAGCTAAATTGGATCTTTATGGTATCCGCAACAAGTTAAAAATATGGATTCAAGATTTTTTATTCGACAAATACTTTCGATTTTTCTATCCGACAGGGTTCGTGTTAAGGAAGCCCACTAGATACCCACTAGATAAGCCAGTCAATAGTGGAGTCCCACAAGCATCAGTACTTGGACCGCTAGTTTTTTTTATATATATTAGTAATCTGCCTCTGACTGTATCCATTAAGGTTTCTATTTACTCTGGTGATACGAAATTGTATGTGAATCTAAGTATTAATCAACGTGTTGTATAATTCAACATGGTAGTATTAATCATTACTACCGTACTTTATTAATGAATACTAGCGGACCAACTCGACATCGAGTTTTTTAAATGAAATTTTTATTTTGCGAGAAAATTTAAGAGATCAATACAAACAATATAAGCAAGAATATACATAACATCATCAATAATAATGCAAGTAAAAAGTGTATTAAATATCACGAAATATTTCGTCGAAAACAATGTTTTTTGTTACAAAGTCTCCATTTTCTGAAAACTTTTGCTTGGCACCGGGAGTTATGTAAACTTTTACTTTTTACTGTTTAATAAAAACGAAACCGAAGTGGACCTCCAAACTGGAATGCAATTTTTAGTTCATCAATGTCGACATGGATATCATTTAGCAGTTAATTTTGCATGCTGATCACAAATCCGGTGTCAGATTTGCTCTATCTTGACGTTTTATGCGCGTTTCGGGTCACTTCCGGTGTCGGATCGCAACCTGAAGTACATATTTAGCTTCGTCTCGACGAGACCTTTCGATCCATATATACATTGTGGGGTCTAAAACTTAGAGTAAATTTTAACTTCCGGCCATCTCAAAACCGAAAATGAATTTTTGTACAAAAGTACATCTTGACAATCTCATAACGTAATACTAATAATATTTTGAAAAAATATTTAATTATCTAATATGGTTTTTGAGTAAAGTGGTGGACAAGAAAAGGGCTTAGCGTTTTAGTATATATGATCCCTTAAACTCGGTAACATCCTCAAACGATGCAAACTCGAAACTATTTTTGATCCCTAAATGTTTTAAACGTATATCTCTAACCTCTGTTAGTATACTTTACTTAATATACGTTAGACCTATTCGTCAAGGAGGAAAGCGTCATACCTGGGCCATGTGTTCCGTAATGATAAGTACAGTCTGCTACAGCTTATCGTGAAAGGCAAGATTGAAGGTAGAAGAGGTTTGGGCAGAAAGAAGAAATCCTGACTAAGGAACTTGAGAGAATGATTTCAAATACTAGAAGCTGCGAACATAATACATGTGGCACAACACAGAGAAACCTATCGTTTGATGGTCGCCAACCTTCGGTAGAAAGACGGCACATAAAGAAGAAGAAGACCTATTCGTAGGTTTGTCGGGGCAGTGTGGAATGCAGATCTCAGTCGCGATAAAATCCTACTAAAAAGTTTTAGCGTAAAGCCACAGTAAAGTCAGTGTAAGACATAATTATGAAGAGAAACTATCCATGGCTCATCTCACGACATTCGAGCAGCGACGTCTTCGCATTTTAAAACATAATTTTGGGAACCTTAACAATATATTCACTTTAAATCAAGACGAAAAATTAAGAGGCCATCAATACAAATTAAAGGAGAAACAAACTACTGCAAGGTCCAGGATGAACTTATTGCCAAATAGAATATTTATTATCTGGAACAATTTGGATAAAGACACCATATCAGCAACTAGTGTTAACATCTTTAAAAATAAACTTAATAGCGCTTTATTTTATTTATAGGATTGTGTTATTTTAGAACCGCAGTATTTATTATTGTTTCAGAATATTTGTATTATGTACTTAATTGTAACTTAATAATTTGTGTAAGTATTTAAAAGGATATTTTTCTTTGTTTTTGGGCATACTAGGAGTTCGCTCCTCTCCCCTTTATAACCATAATATTAATAATAATAAATAACTCGTATAAATATTCCTTTATTGGTAAACAGTCAATAAATTCAAAAAGTCTAGAACTATACATATCTGATTATTAATGTAATTAGCTCAAGGGGCTACTGTGAAATAATAAAATAATTGATAGCTAAACTTGATATTTAGACTAGTAAGAGCTGTAGATTTTATTATTGTTTATAGAACTGATTTCCCGATTTGCGGTATGAAATTATTTAAAAGATACTCTATCAACATCGAGAATTTTTAATAAATCCAAAGTTTTTATTAACAAAATAAAATTTGGAACAAATAAAAATATTTCATTTGATACCAGTCAGATTGTCATTTATTGATGCAAATATCTAGATAATAACTAAAAAATTTAAGACATTAATAGACAGTCTTAAACTACAATATTCTTAAATTATTGCATGGATCACTGTTCCGTTTTACTTGCTACATGCTTTTTAGTTGTTATAAAAACCTTTGATCAAGTTCTCTTTCTATATCAGTAATTTGTACCACTACATTACTTTTAGCAAATATCAAACGCAAATCTTATAAAACATAATTTATTATTATAAATATTAATATTACATAGTAATAATATAGTTATTGTCATGGAAAATAAATATTATCTTGCATACTCTGTCGGATTTGGATGTTAGAAGGGCAGCAACCATTAATTTTTCAAACTTCCTTTAAGAATCAGTTGAATTTCTTCTAAAGTCTTGCCCTTTGTCTCAGGAATAATGTACCGAGACAAAATAGCACAAATGGTATTAGATACAGCAAACAAAAGGAATGGAGCATAAAATCCAAGAAGTGTATTGAGCTGATAGAATATGGTGGTTGTTAAAAAGTTTCCCATACCATAAATAATTATCAATATAGTCATGGCTTTGGACTTGATGCTAGCAGAATACAACTCCCCAAGCATTAGTGTGGGAATAACTGAGATTCCGATGGATGCGAATAAGAGGTAGGACATCATGCAGGCTAGAGGGATCCATTTTACGTAAGATAGATCAATATTTGTGTTTCCATCTATATAGAAATAGGCAGACATTGCATACAGGACTCCACTTGTAGTTACCATGGATATGGTGTAACAGAAAATCCTTCCGAATCTCTTCACTACAAAAATTACTGCAAATAAGTTTAATATGACTGCAAGTCCCATAAAAACTATCGAAGCTTCTTCGTGACTCATGTTGTTACCTGATTTTTGGAAGATAAATTGAGTGTACGTCAGAAACACTGACACACCAGCCATTTGTTGACTAAGTCTTAAAAATACTCCAGCAGACAGAGCCTTTCTGTTGCTTTCTATCTTGAAAAGATCACTCCAAGTGCCTGATTCTGACAACTGTCTCTCAACAGCATATTTACAATTTTCAAAAATCTCATCAACATTTTTAATCCTCTTTAGAAACTTTAAAGAATTCTTTGCTTCTTGTTCCTTGCCTTTCATTATGTAATAATAAGGCGACTCTGGCATGAACCAAAACAGGACGAGGAATAAAACAGATATTGGTAAACATACCCAAGAAGTTGTTGTAACTCCCAAGTAACTTCCCAATACGTTGATCAAGAACTCGCCCAAAAATAGAGATATAGCCACAGCGTTTCCCCATATTCCTCTCACTGTTGGGTTAGCTACTTCTCCAATGTAAGTTGGTAGCGTGGCAAAAAGGCAACCATCTGCTATACCAGAAAAAATTCTTGACAGGTAGAACATATAGACAGATCTCCCTAGAGCAGCACACAACCAACTTCCTATTTGAGGGATTACAATTAAGAGTAAGGTCCTCTTCCTGCCAAGAACGTCTGATAGTTTTGAGAAAATGGGACAGGCGATCATCAGGGAGACTGGTTGGATAGTGTTGAAGTAGGATCCTTCTTCCTCTGTAATATCGTAGTTGACTTTGTCTTGTGTTATTTTGATTAGAAACGGCGAAGACCATGAGAATAGGAGTCCGTTTGATAAACCAGCAAGACCACCTGAAATAAACAATAAATTAATATTAATTTTAACTTCATTATTTTTTTTTGTTCGTATTACATCGCTCAATCTAATTAAAGGATATTTAAACAAACGTTTTTGAACATAAATAATCAAATTATTGTCTAATACCGCGTTAGTAAAATAATTTTAGATTTTATATTGATTAGAGTAAATTTAAATTTAATAAAATTTAACATGAGGCATTGAGTCAAATGTAAAGAAGTAACCATATAGAAAATACGTTATAAAATGGGAATATATAGCAGAAAAATTATTTTAACAGTTTATTTAGCAAACATTCAAATATCAGATTGGAAATAAGCATTGTGTATAATAAAAAAGAGAGAGAACACGTTGGAATACATTACCAATAAATTGAGAAAAAGTGAAATATGATTTTTAAAGTATGAATGAAAGTAACCTTAAATAATTTTAATTTTGGAACTTACCTATAACAATGGCCAATATTTGTGGCCAATTCTTTTCGTACTCCTTAGCATTAAAATGAAGAATAACACCCATGTTTAACAATGAGACGTAGACCTACTAGTATTAATTGTACTAGAACTGTAACCTCTCTTGCTACTTCTTACTGCAAACTGTGATGATACTCATAGCACATTCGATAGTTATATAGTAACAATTGTTGTTTAATTAAATAAATAAGACAAATGCATTGTTCAGTGTTTATTCGTTTAAAATATGTTTTAAACTTTAAACAAATATCCCCTACGTGGTTTTCTAATTTTGGATCTTTTTACGTCAATGTGATTTTGTCTAAGTCTTATATCTGCTACACATAAACTCATGCAAATATCTCCAGCCGTGATATGCTTTTTAAACAAAAGTTTGTATTGACTTTTGCGGAAAAAGCTTTATTATTTTATTTAATTAAAGAAAGATATCAGAATCTGTGGTATTTCATCATCTAGCGGGTGACATTTTTAATAAATAATAAAAAAGACACGCGTGGAAATCATGCAATCACAATTCAAACCTCAATATTTCTGGTTTTTATATTTATTGTTACACTAATCCCAGTAAAGCATAGATTCTTTTATATTGCCTTTCTATTTTGTCTCATAAGGATCCATAAATCTTTATTGGTAGTTTAACATCTTAGTAATAAAAAAGCTGTTTTTTCCTAAACCTTCTGAAAGTGATGTTGCCTGAATTCAATATTTCTTTAATTCTATCCGGTGTTCTAATATTTTAATTTATGACTATATTTGCTAAAAATTATTTTTTGTTGCATTGATTTACGATTAAACCATTTTATTGACTGGCATAGATTTTATAAGTCAATCCACTTGCAATGTTTTCATTTTTAACGTCTTAAGTAAGTTCTATGGTATGATCACTATAAACCGTATCTTCTCGCGTATTATTCTGGAGCGAATCAGTTCTCTTTCTTTATGTTTTAATTTTTGAAATTTTTTGCTTACATTAAAAAGATATCTATATTAAATCCGCTAAATCTTTGTACATTGATTCGTAATATAGGCATTAAACCAAAACATGTGAACCAAACTTAACGCTGATTAGATTAGTAAATGGCTAAAATTCTAATGGACGTTTTTATACTTCTCTTTTATCTCTATTATTGCATTTTGAAAACTAGGTATATCATCATGAACGTGATTGTAAAATTTTTGGAAACCTACGTTGTATCAATAATAGTTAATAATTATTTAGACGGCAGTAATCAGAATAGAGAGGTGAAAAGTACGAACTACTAAGGAATATAATGCAGGGTAAAATCAAAGGTAGAAGAAGCGTAGGAAGACGTAAAATCTCGTGGCTACGCAATCTCCGTGAGTGTTTGGATGCAGTTCAATTGAACTATTCAGGCGAGTAACCAATAAAATTATAATTGCCAGAATGATTTCCAATCTCCGATAGGAGTGGAACTTGAAAAAGAATCAGAAATAAAAGTATTCAATTACATGTAAGCAAATACCTATATGAGTTATGATCTAAAAAACTGAATAAAAATCTACCTCAGGGCTCCATAATATTGATCATTTGGTTTATTCAGTGTTAAGTATGGTTTCCAAAATTACTGAATTACTTTGTTTTTAGTACTGTTATGGAGATTTATGGATTCAATAATGAAGATTTGAGTTTAGTAGCTGATATTACTTATACAAAATGACTAAAACTGTAACAAACATAATAAGACTGGATGCAGGTTACACAAATTATCCAACTAAATTTAAAAAAAATAACCTACATACAAAATTAACATAAAAAAATCAAATAAAAAAACCGATGTATAATAAATTAAAAAATAGAAAACTTTTGAGCTGAGTAAAAACAATTTATTTGAAGTATTTATTTAAGGATCTTATAAAATCATAAATTGAAGATTTCTGAACTGTCATATTCTAAGCTACTCATGTTACCAGTGTTTACTATGATTGGTTGAATGTTAATGTCAATCATATTTTTTCTCGAATATTTCCATTCTAGTAGAAACAGTGGAAGGCTGATTTTCTAAAAGAATACTGTAGTATGGAGTACTATCCATCACCATTAATGATGGCTCTTTTAAATTGGGTGAATTAATTGTTCACTTATCCATTTGTAGCATACGCAGATGACATAAACATAATGAGCAGAACAAAGACTGCGGCAGAAGAAACCTACGTTCAGTTGAAACAGAGTTCAGAAGTTGTAGGGCTAACAATAAATACAAATAAAACAAAACTACTTATACAAACCAGATCAAATAGACAGGCGCAACAACAACAATTTATAGACGATATAGAATACGTGAATAGATTCACGTATTTAGGAATGGATCTGGTCGAAAATAATGAAGAAGAACCGGAAATAATTAGAAGGCTTATGCTGGCAAACAAAGCCTATTTCGCGATGGGCCACATATTCAAATCGCGAGACGTCACACCGGAAAACAAAACTCCGGGTATATAAAACAATAATCGACCAATAGAAAGTTATAGGTGTGAAACATGGGTTATAACACAGAAATCTACCAATGCATTAGACGTGTTCGAAAGAAAAATATTGCGTAGAATACTGGGTCCAATAAAGGAAAATAGCAACTGGCGAATTAGATATAATAACGAAATATACGAACAATACACTGAACCAACACTAGCACAATACACTAGACTGCAGAGATTACGATGGGCAGGGCATGTGGCCCGCATGCATGAGAACAGAATCCCCAGAAAATTACTAAACGCAGGAATGCAAGGAAAAAGACCTGTTGGAAGACCAAAAAAGAGATGGGAAGACGAGGTAGATGAGGATGCCAAAAATCTCCTAAAAACGCGTTCATGGAAAAGAACAGCAGTAAATAGAGATGTTTGGAGAGGTTTAATGAAGGAGGCCAAGGCCCGGCTTGGGCTGTAGTGCCATTGGATGGATGGATTATCCATTTGGTGAAAATTTCGTTATTTATTTCTTCATAACAATCAGCTACGTTAGATTTTAAGCAAAATAGTAAACTTGCTTCAGCAACCAATCTTTTGGAAGAACCAGCGTGAACAATTATAAACGTGTTACAAGAAAGAAATTGGTTTAATTTCGTTTGAATAAATACATGTTTCGTCCAAAAAAACAACAAGGTCTCTGGAATTCACACTATTAAGATTTTCCATAAGTATACATATTTACGAAAACTCTGGCGAAAGGATACAGGTGCCAAGGCACTTAGGTAAGAACACTAACACGGGGTGTGTGAAGGCCCTATACAGCCTAGAATGCATACCCCAATACACCCACACACCTTAGCAAGTAAGAAAAAAAGGGTAAGAATTGTGCCAGGCATTTTATAGTCCCAACACCACAAGAAAGACCCTCCAACCCAAAAAAACGGTTGTTTTCTCTTAATATTCAGTATTCTAAAATCTAAATTCTATTCACTAAACGTTTTAAACAGCGTCCTAAGCTAGAATTCAATTTGTTTTTTTATATTATAGAAGGCACCATCAGGGACACGCTGAACTGGCGGACTAGGCCCTTAAGGCGGATCGAATGAATACTGATCCACTTCGCGACACCCCGAGCACTAAGGTCATGTGCGGCAAACATGGGCTTGGTGGCCGAACCCATCTCGGGCGCCCAGCCGGCGAGGAGAACAAAATTCATTTTGCCAAATCGACGGCTGAGTGACCGAGCACACACTCTTTTCCGGACATGGAGTCGCCAGCTTAGGCTATTATGCCACAGTTAGGTGGCATAACCACAGTCAATAAAAACAGAAGCTGTCTCATTACCCAGGGTACCTTAAGTAACTTTCAGATCATAAGCCTCCTCACGTAAGTCACACGATGTGGAGGGATGGAGGAAAAGCCTGGGGTCAGATAGATACCACTTCAACTAGTGAGGTGTCACCGGTTTGATCTTCGGACATGTGGATCCCATTCTTAGATTGGTATACACATGTTCCTAGAGGCAGGGTTGATCACTGCGTGTGTGTGTGTGTGTTGTGTATTTACGAAAGAACTTGGTTCTTAAAGCAGCAGTACTGGTACGCCTAATCAATGCTCTTCGCGTATTGTACTTGTTGTAATTAAATCTCAGTTCTGTTAATCAAAATGGTAACATTATATTTTGCCAATAAATACAACTTCTATATCCCTTAATCCATTACTTATACTTTGCAAAGTAAGAGTTTTCTCTAAAAACAAATAAGTATAGAATAAATCGCACTGTTCTAACTACTTCAATGTAAAGAAAATAAATACATATTGTGTTTTTATAAAACTTGAAATTATTTTAAAATCTTGAGAATATTTTGACGAGAAAATTAAGTTAATGTGAATCAATGGATTTAGCACAAACTTGCTTAAATACTTTTATCTTTTTTTACAAGATAGATTTATATAAAGTATTGATTAAAAAGTACCTTCTGGCTTATTATCAAATTCAGATTGAAGAAATGTGTGCTAAATGTTTTTGGTACATGGTGTATACTGTATTTGGCACTGCCATTTTTAATCCCTCGGATAAATCAGTTATCTATTTTTCAGATAAGGTCTAGTTTTGCCTGGCTTAAAAAATATGAATGTTTTCAATATGTTACCTGTTGAACAGATGAAAATGGCTGCAAAGTCTCTACAGTTATTTTTCCTAATTCTAAATACTCTAACACATTTAATAAACTTGTTGTGCTTGAGAATTCAATGGTTTATCGGTTGTCGTGGTTGTCAACCATATTTAAATTATTAAATGTAAATTTAGACGGTAGAATAAATATTAAATTATTCCATAGACATAATATAATAAATGATAAACTAATTGTTTCAATTCGACCGAGAAAACTGAAGCAAAGCAGTCCCTCTAAGGGCCGGGTTTATCGACCACGTGACTTTCTCATTGGCATTTAGGCGTTGTACAACCCAATACTTTTTGTTATTATTTATAAATTCTTCTTTTATTTTTTTTTGTTATTTTTATTATCCTACAATAGTCCGTGTAGCTACTAGTGGCTGATGTTGCTTGGCCAATCCTAGAATGTATTTCTTCGTTTCTTCCTGCTTTTGATGTCA